GGGACCAACCTCTCCCTCCGCACGTCTCCGCAGCAGCCGGTTCCAGCATCCTCCCGGGGTCCCAGCATCGCGCCAGGCCCCCGCTCCCCGGCAGCAGCAGTCCTAGATCTGGAGGTTGATGAAAGGGGCAAAGCCAACCACGTCCTGCAGGAGAACGAGAGCCCTCTGCAGTGGAGGCTCCACGTCCAGCTCCACGCCACGGCTCCGGAGGATGCTCAGGCTGGACTCGGCCACGTTGTGGCAATGCTTCACCTTCAGTGAGCGCAGCTTGGGACAGTACTCAGCCAGGACCCTGACGAGAAAGAGCACAGGCAGGTTGCAAGCCAGGACTCCCGAGTGCACCACTCGCCCTCTCCACTACTGCCAGCAGCCCAGCGCTCACAGCTGTGCCACTCGCGCCCCGTCCTTTGGAAGCACCACCCCCGAGCTTCTCTCAGACCAGAGGGGACATGGCTGGATCTCAGACCTACCCCCGGTGACATGCTGGGGAACTCGCTGCTGCTAGCACACAGTGCCTCTCCTGAAGGGCCTGCTAGTGGCTTCTCCCCAGCCTGAGCTCTCTCTGCCTTCGGCATGAGGAAATCTGACTTTTTCTCTCTGGTTCTCCTCTTCTCCCCACCCCATGTCCCCACATTGCTCACAGAATCATTAAGGTTGGAAAAGACCCCCAAGATCATTAAGTCCAACCGTCACCCCAACTCCACCACGCCTGCTAAACCATGTCCTGAAGTGCCACATCCACACGGTTTCTGAACCTCTCCGGGGATGGTGACTCCCCCACTGCCCTGGGCAGCCTGTCCCAGTGCCTGACCACTCTTTCAGTAAAGACATTTTTCCTAATATTCAATCTGAACCTCCCCTGGCGCAACTTGAGGCCATTGCCTCTCGTCCTGTCACTGGTTACTGGGGAGAAGAGACCAACACAGTACCTGATGGAGTCATTCTTGACTCGCAGACACCCCGTGAGATCCAGGTGCTCCAGCTCAGGGCAGCACTTGGCAACCTCCTCGACCGCCACATCACCCACGTTGGCATTGACAGCCAGCGACAGCGACTTGAGCCCGGCGCACTTCTGCGCCAGGTAGCAGATGGCCTCGTCCTTCAGCTGGCGACAGGCCGTCAGGTCCACAGCCTCCAGTGCCTTGCAGTGGTCGGCCAGGCTGCGCAAGGACAGGCTGTCCACCCACTCGCAGTGAGCCAGGGAGAGCTGGCGCAGCCTGGGGCAGCTCAGCGAGATGGCCACCAGCGCGTGCCGGCTGAGCTGGGCGCAGCCCTTCAGCTGGATCTGGTGGAGGTGGTGGTTCTGCCCGATGACCGGGAGCAGCTCCCTGTCCATCAGCCAGTCGGAGCAGTTCTGGAGCGCCAGCTGCTGCAGCACTTCGTTGTCCTTCAGCAGGTTAACGAAAGCAGCTCGAGGGATGGCAGGTCCGACCTGCGTGGGGAACCCAGGAAGAATGAGGCATCCCCCAGAGTTTCAGAGCAGCCTGATCCTCACCAAATCATCTCTCCTCTCCTCTGCTGTGACCGTGGTGACCAAAGCCACCCCCACTCCTCATCCCAGGGCTAATCCTGCCATCGGGCTCTCCTCCCCTCATGCCAAGGCTACTGCCACAAGCTAGAAGATGCTCTGGCTTCTCCATCCCCCATCATCACCCCTGCGTTTATACACTCCTGATGGGCTCCGCACCCCTGCTCTCCAAAAACCTCTTTGCTAGACCGCTCTGTGTCCTCCCAGAACAGCAGCTCCCATCTTCCCAAGGCCCAGGCAGTGCCTCCCAGGGCCAGCACAAGCTTTCCCCTGAAGACCAGGCACAGAGTGCTCCCTGCCAGTCCCACGCCGCTGCACAACCTCC